CGCTTAACCAACTGAGCCACCCAGGCGCCCCTGTGGGATAGACACTTCTAAGAGTAAATGTTGTGTCACAGAATATGCACACTAAAGATTTTAAACATATTGCCAAAGTGCATTTTCAAAGGCAGTATCAATCTACACTTTCACTGTGAGAATGCCCACCAATCTTTAAATATCTACCTAATGTGTTTAAAAAAAAAAAAAGTGGTATCCCATTGTTATTCTCTATAGCAATACATATATAACCCCCAAAAAGTGAGGTTTTGTTTGTTTGTTTAAAGATTTTATTTATTTATTTGACAGAGAGAGAGACACAGCGAGAGAGGGAACACAAGCAGGGGGAGTGGGAGAGGGAGAAGCAGGCCTTCCACAGGGTAGGGAGCCCAATGCAGGGCTCGATCCCAGGACCCTGGGATCATGACGTGAACCGAAGGCAGATGCTTAATGACTGAGCCACCCAGGCACCCCAAAGTGAGTTTTTATTTTTTATTTTTATTTTTTTTAGATTTTATTTATTTGAGAGAGAGAGACAGAGATAGTGAGAGAGCACAAGTGGGGAGGAGAGGGAGAAGCAGGCTTCCCACAGAGCAGGGAGCCCGATGCGGGCTCGATCCCAGGACCCTGGGACCATGACCTGAGCCGAAGGCAGACGCTTAACCGACTGAGCCACCCAGGCGCCCTGAGTTGTTTTTTAAAAGAAATCGTTCTATCGTTCAAATATTAGCATGGATTCTCAATGTCACTATACATCATAATCACTTACAAAGCTTTTATTTAAAGCTCATGCTGAAGTCCCCATTCCAAAGTTAACCATCTCTGGAGAAAGACCAAAGGAATCCTTACTTTTTAAAGAGCTCTGGGGCACCTGGGTGGTGCAGTCAGTTAAGCGTCCAGATCGAGCCCCATGCCGGGCTCCATGCTCAGCTCAGAGTCTGCTTAAGACTCTCTCTTCCCTCTCAAATAAATAAATAAATCTTAAACAAACAAACAAAAAAGAGCTCCAAAATGATGCCAATGAATTAGCAATAGGCCATCTATATATACAGTAGTAAGTCCTGTATAGTCCACATTGGAAATTGTCTAAAATTAAGAAATTATTCTTGGGGCACCTAGGTGGCTCAGTTGTTTAAGCATCTGACTCCTGATTTCGGCTCAGGACCATGATCTCATGGATTGTGAGATAAGAGCCCCATGTTGGGCTCCAAGCTCAGTGGGAATCTGTTTCAGATTCTCTCTCTCCCTCTGCCCCTCCCCCCACCCACACGCGGGCACTCAGGCACTCTCTCCCTCTCTCAAATAAGTAAATCTTAAAAAAAAAATTTATTCTTAATATAATCTTCTATTAAAAATTAAAGACTCAAATTGTGGCATACAGCAGAAAATTCATTAGGATATAAGAAGTCCAATGGGTTGTCATGGTTACTCTGTTATTTTAGAAAATGAGAATTAATCATACTATGATCTGCTGACATAAAAATATATCTAATATTTTTAAAACTCTACTATAGTATAACATACTGAAGCCAAACTTCTCAGTAATGTCAGCTTGTGCTGACTGACCTTAAAATCCAGACTAAAAGCAGTATTTATCAGATAAAATATTTGTGAAATGTTGTTAGTCCAGGGATATCTTGGATTGGCAAATTTGATGTTACTATAAATCATCTTAAATCTAAATTTTTCCAAAAAAGAATACCATTTTTTTTTTTCAAAAGACTAGCTAGGATCATTTATCTAACTAATGAGTTACACATTATCTTAGTTATACAGAGAGAGAAAGTGTAGACACAGTAGTTGAGAGCATCACTTCGAAACAAAACAGATACTTTGGAATTAGAATTTTGACTGTTAACTTACTATCTGTAGACAAATTAATTAAACTCTCTAGGCTTCAGTTTCCATACTTAGGAGATGTGAAATGTAAAAGAGTTATAATCTAGCTCCATAGGTAGCATGCTCAAACTACTCTCTCTCCTTCATTAATGGGGTGGTTCTCAACCAGGCGATATTTGGCAATACCTGGAGATACTCTGGATACCTGGACTCACAAGTGGGGGAGGGGAGGTTGGCGGGGAGAGAGAGAGTGGGCTACAGATATCTAATGTGTTTGGCAGAGATGCTGATAAACATACTGCATTCACAAGACAACCCACCACACCTCAAGAATTATCTAACCCCAAATGTCAAAAAGGTTAAGGTTAATGAACCTTGCTTTGATGAATATATAAGAATCATTTGTAGTTGTTGACACAAAAACTACCTGTATAGTATGCTACAACTAAAGTGATGTTAGATTTATTCATTCAACAAATATTTACTGAGCATATACTATGGTCAAGCACTATACCAGGTTCCAATTTAAAAGTATCTTAGAATGACTTGGCATTTTTCTCTTCCAATCTTATTTTCATCAATCAGCTTAGAACGTTTTTGTTCTAAAAAAACAACTAGCCACTGACACTAAATGCATTTGTGTAAAGGGAAACATTTAACTAAGCTATTTATTTCCTGGCTAAGTAAATGGGTTATAGAACATTATTTCAAGATTTCATGATTTATAATAAAGCGAAAGATTATCTACTCGGAGTGTATCAGAACTTCCAAGCAGGAAGTTCTTTCTCCTTTGAAAAAGTTTCCCAGTTGACTCTGACACACATAGTCCTCCACCTTTACAGAAAAAGAGGCAGAGAGCCAATGTCAGACCCACATTTGGTTTCCAGTTCACTTTTCCTTCCAGGACACTAAGGACATATATATTCAACCAAGATAGACCCACTTCCTTTGCTGTGAACCCTGTCCTATCACATATGTTAGGGTCAGACACTCTAACTTTTGGTGAATATAGCTTCTATAAGAGCATGTCCTTTATTTTATTTTTTTTATTTATTTTTTTTTTAAAGATTTTATTTATTTATTCATGAGAGACAGAGAGAGAGAGAAG